AGTTTTTTTTAATAATCTGTTGTAAGAGCATTGTGAATATGATAAAAAATGCAATTAAAAAAATGCAGTGTCAAAACTAAACAATTAAAGTGATAGAGCTTTGAAGTCTATACTTAAAATGCATATCAGATATTTGCTCTATGAAAATTACAATAAAACTGATATTACTATCCAAAACTTCCTCAGAAATATACCTTCCTGTGGACACCTACAAAGGGACCTCTGAAGTGACATCACTTGTGTCACTGGTCACACCTAAAATGGACAGTCCCACCTGGAATGGTGGTTTGGCTTTCCAAAGAAGGGATGTTTAAGCCTGATGTGAATGTACACTTAGCTTACTGACAGTCTCCTTTGCCAGACCCACTCAGAAAGCAATGCTGAAATACTGTCTATACGGTCTTCATGCCCTAGGTTGTTGCAGCTTACCTGCTCGCCGACGAGCCGGGAACCGCTCCTCCGCGTCTTCTGGGCGTTGCGCCCAAATCAAAGATGGCGCTGACCACGTGGTCGCACACACCACAAGCTCCACCCCTCACATTTATACAGACGTGCGTGTGACGTCACGACGTAAACGCACGAGCACGTTCTGGGGTCAGAGGTCACCCTCTGACTAATCAGAGCCCAGAGATGGATATTTAAATCCCTAATTCACTCCAGTTCCTTGCCCTGTCATGGTTTCCTGTTCCTGGTTCCCAAGAGTGTGTTTATCTTTGTGAATATTACTTCATGATATCCTGATCTTGGCTTTTCCCTGGTTATTCCGAAATCTGGTTCCCCTGACTTGGCTTGTTTAAACGGTATCTGAGTATTTCTGGCTTCCTTGACCTCGGCTTTCCCTTTGACCATTCTCTATCTCTAGTGTATTAGTCTGGCCATTCTAAGGTCCGGTTTACTCTCTGTCCTTTTATTTCCTTTCCTTTTTTATGTATATTTTTATATAGTTTCTGCGTGTTGGACCACACTAGCAGCCGTTACATTACGACAGGGCCATGGATCCTGCGGAACTATGCAAACATATGAGTGCCTGTGAGAGTAGGGTGGAGGATATGGACCACAGGTTAGATCAATTTGCCCAAGCATTCCAGACCTTGCTCCAGAGAACTGCTTATCTGGAGGCACCTCCGGTACCGCCTGTTGTTCCGCCACCTATAGTAGCACCTGTGGCACACAAACCACCGTCCATAACCCTTTCACCTCCTCCTCGTTTTGGAGGTGATTCTAAGGAATTTAGAGGTTTTCTAAACCAAACTGAATATCACTTTGAAGCTTCCCCTGGTTCATTTCCTACAGATAGATCGAAAATTGGCTATCTAATAAACCAATTAATGGGTAAGGCTTTAACCTGGGCTAATCCCTTATGGGAGAGTGGAAATCCAGTTGCCCGTGATTACAATGTATTCCTAACAGCTTTTAAAACTACTTTTGAGCCAAAAGGGAGAGAAAAGAATGCTGCCAGAGCCCTAATGAGAATAAAACAAGGCAACCGCTCTGTAGCTGATTACGCCATAGAGTTCAGGACATTGGCGTCTGAGGTTGACTGGACCAGTAGCGGTTTGGTGGCTGCTTTTTCCGAAGGTTTTGCGGAAAATATACAAGACGAGACCGCAGCCAGAGATCTTCCAGTTAACCTCAATGACTTTATTGCATACATGATAGACATTGATAACAGGCTCAGAGAGAGAAAAACAAACAGCATACTAGTCATTCTAACTTATCCATAGCCCCTCGTTTATCTAACCCAGTGGTAATTAGCCATGCTCCACCTCCAGAACCTGAACCCATGCAACTGGGCATTGCTAAACTCACTGAGGCAGAGAGACAACACAGACGCAACAAGGGGTTGTGTTTGTATTGTGGCAAAAGGGGTTGAAGGAGAAATTGTGAGTTGGGATGAGAGATGCGCAGGTATTTGTTTAAAACAGGTGCAACAACTAATTGGTACCCTCAATATACCTATAGCGCCTCGCTTGATCACAGAAATCCCACCGCAGTATTTGGACTTAAAGGAGGTATTCAACAAGGTACAGTCGGACGTATTACCACCACATAGACTCTACGACTGTGCCATAAATTTGTTACCAGGCACTATGCCCCCTAAAGGAGGAGTGCATGCACTATCTCCCCAAGAAAATCTTTGTTTAGAAGAGTACATAAAGGATGCTCTCAGAAAGGGTCCCATATGTAGATCCTCTTCACCTGCTGGGTTTCTAAAAAAGAAGGAGACCTACGCCCTTGTATAGACTATAGGGGTTTGAATAGAATAACAATAAAAAACGCCTATCCCATTCCCTTTATTTCTGAGTTATTCGATAGGTTGAAAGGGGCCTGAGTCTTCACTAAGCTCGACCTCAGAAGTGCTTACAAACTAGTCAGATTTAAGGAAGGGCACGAGTGGATGACCGCGTTTAATATGCGAATGGGACATTACGAATTCCCTAGTTATGCCATTTGGACTGTGCAACGCCCCAGCGGTGTTTCAAGATTTTATTAACGATGTCTTTAGAGAATATCTCCACATGTTCGTTTTAGTGTATCTAGACAACATTCTCATCTATTCCCCAGATTTAGAGACACATCACGAACATGTGAGAACAATATTAAAAACCCTGTTAAAGAACGGCCTCTACTGTAAGCTGGAGAAATGCCAATTTGACCAGACTGAGATACAATTTCTTGGGTACGTTATATCTCCGTCTGGTTTCAAAATGGACCCATGAAAATTGGAAGCAGTCTTACAATGGCTATTACCCAAAGGCCTTAAAGCTACACAACGCTTTATAAGTTTTGTGAATTATTACCGCAAGTTCATTAAAGGTTTTTCCTCTGTAATCTCTCCTATTACCAACCTAACCAAAAAAGGAGCAAATTGCAATTCATGGCCCAAGGAAGCAAAGGAGGCATTTGAGCAATTAAAATCTTTATTTCCCTTAGCACCTGTCCTGACACATCCCAATTCAACCAATCCATTTATTCTAGAAGTAGATGTGTCAGAAACAGGAGTAGGAGCCATTCTGTCTCAAAGAGAAAGTCCTGATACACCTTTACATCCCTGTGGGTTTTTCTCTCGAGAAACTAACATCTGCAGAGAAAAATTATGACAGTGGGAATAGGGAGTTATTGGCCATTGTACTTGCCCTTAAAGAATGGAGGCATCTCTTAGAAGGTTCCAAAGAGCCACTTCTGATTTTTACCGATCATAAGAATTTGGCTTATATTGGGGACGCTAAGAGATTGTCCTCTCGTCAGGCTAGATGGTCATTTTTCCTCTCCCGATTCAATTTTGTAATTATGTACAGGCCCGGGACCAAGAACACCAAGGCAGATGCGCTGTCTAGGCAGTTTGAGACAGATGAGGTTCCTGAACAAGAGGTATTCCCTATCATACCTCCAGAATGCCTTATTGCCACTACGATTTCCAAAGTGTCTTCTCCACTCTTCTGTGCCATAATGGCAGATCAAACTCAGGCACCCGTGGAGAGACCTCCGGATAAACTGTATGTTTCACCACCATTAAGGAAAAAGGTACTTGGATTATTCCATGATAATTTGACAGCAGGTCATCCTGGAGTCCATAAAACTCGCTCTGCTACCGTGTTTCCCCGAAAATACACCCTACCCCGAAAATAAGCCCTAGCTGAATTTTCGGGGTGGGCTGCAATATAAGCCCTACCCCGAAAATAAGACCTAGGCATTGTACCTTTCGGCCCGGCGGGACTTCCTTCTTCTATGAGGAGGAGGAGGAGCGTTGCAGGCAGCGGCATCGCGCAACGTGATGACGACGTGCGCAGCGTCGTCAGTCTGCCTTCACGGATCTTCAGCGGAAGGATCCATTTCCGGGCGGTGAGGCACCCAGTGGTCGGACTCGGCGGGCAAGGAAGGCATCTTTGAAATGTGAGTAGATATTTTATGTCTGGGACTGAATTAATTAAAGGGGGCGATGAATTAATTAAAGGAGGCGGTGAATTAATTAAAGGGGGGCTGGATTAATTAGAGGGGGGTGGATTTATTAAAGGGGGGTTGGATTAATTAAACGGGGGGTGGATTTATTAGAGGGGGTGGATTTATTAAAGGAGGGGTGGATTAATTAGAGGGGGTGGATTAATTAGAGGGGGGTGGATTAATTAGAGGGGGGTTGGATTAATTAAACGGGGGTGGATTTATTAGGGGTGATTTATTAGAGGTGGCTTAATTAAAGGAGGGGTGGATTAATTGAGGGGGGGTGGATTAGGGGGGTGGATTTGTGGGGGGTGGATTTATTAAGGGGTGGATTAATTAGAGGGTGGATTAATTAAAGGGGGTGGATTAATTAAAGGAGGGTGGATTAATTAAAGGGGGGTGGATTAATTAAATGGGGGTGGATATTAGAATTAAAGGAGGGTGGATTTAATTAGGGGGCTGGATTTATTGGGGGCTGGATTTATTGGGGGGTGGATTTATTGGGGGGGTGGATTAATTAAAGGAGGGTGGATTAATTAAAGGGGGGTGGATTAATTAGAGGGGTGGATTAATTAGAGGGGGTGGATTTATTAAAGGGGGGTGGATTAATTAAAGGGGGGGTTCAATGTACATACCGGTACCATAAATAAATAAGCCCTACCCTGAAAATAAGCCCTAGTGTGTTTTTTGGGACTAAAATTAATATAAGACCCGGTCTTATTTTCGGAGAAACACGGTATCTCCAGGAGGTTTTGGTGGCCTACACTTAGGAACGACATCAAAGATTATGTAGGGGCATGTCAAATATGTGCCGTTTCTAAAGCCTCTCACAAATCTCCTCCTGGGCTGCTACAACCACTGCCGATACCTAATAATCCATGGACCCATTTACCCATGGATTTCATGGTGGATCTGCCCAGTTCAAATAGATTTAACACAATCCTTATGGTCATAGATAGATTCTCAAAAATGGCACATTTTGTACCGCCCTTTTTAAAAAAAAAAAAATTTCTTCCCTCTCTCTTGCCCCCTTCCAGATCCACACGGCCATCCGACACTAGGACCACGCAAAAATCACCACAAACATACGCACCTAAGACCAACGACAACAAGAGAACCCAACATCACCAACAACACACCCACTCCAATGACAAAGGGGAAAAAACCTAAAGGAAACTCAGGACAACACACGCTGACCCCCGACCCTCACCATTATTCCCCACACCAAACTAAACAGACGAGAAAAGACCAAAGCCGCAAATTACCCAAAACTCAATGCCCACAACTAAGAGGTAGAGGACATACAGACCACAAGACAGGACCAAGCCACAGAAATACCTCAAAATATAAGCAACAGACCGCCACGAGAGGGCACTCCTTCCCCCATCTCTTTCACTTCTGTACCCAACCCGAAACTCTAGAAGAAACAGGATTGCAAACTGTCACGAGAGCGAAAGAGAACACTGGACATGTAAATATGCTAAAGATGTTACTGAACAACTTCCACTTGCACGTGGACAGTCAATACATTGTGTACAATACCTGAATGTGATGCATGCCTGTACCACGAACAACATCCCCCTACTTTCTTTCTGTACCCCCACCCCGAAAACGTACACTATCTAAAATTCAAAATAAAGAATTTATAAAAAATAAAAAAATTACCATCTGCTCAAGATCTCATACAAATAATTTTGAAAGAGATCTTTCGGTTACATGGAGTGCCAAAAAATATTGTATCTGACAGAGGTACCCAATTTATTTTTAGGTTCTGGCGTGCCTTTTGTAAGCAATTGGGTATAGAACTTTCATTTTCCTCAGCGTATCACCCTCAGACTAATGGCACAGCAGAGAGGGACAATCAGTCTTTAGAATCTTATTTACGTTGTTTTATCGATGCCAATCAGTCTAACTGGTACAAATACTTACCCATGGCTGAGTTTGCCAGAAATAATGCATTTTTTGTAAATCAGGGTTATCACCCCACTGTTTTACCTTCTGAATATTCAGACACTGATATTCCTGCCTTGAACACCCATTTGGATTCTATTCATGACATTTGGGATTCCGTTCATACAGCATTGCAGAAGGCATCAAAACATTTTAAAATCCAAGCTGACAAGAGACGGGGTGCCAGTCCTGTCTATCAACCAGGAGACAAGGTGTGGTTATCCACACGTCATGTCAAACTTAAGTTTCCTTCCATGAAATTTGCCCCTCGGTACATAGGTCCTTTTCGGGTCCTCCGTCGTATCAACCCTGTGACTTATTCATTGGCACTTCCTGCTTACCTGAATTGCCAATTCATTTCATGTGTCCTTGCGTAAGCCTCTTACTTGCAATCGATACATTAATGTGGCTGCCCCTCCTCCGCCCTTGGTAGTGGGTGATCAGGAGGATTACGAAGTTCGTTCTATATTGGACTCCAAAATCTCCAGGGGTACTTTGTCTTATCTAGTTGACTGGAAAGGATACGGCCCTGAGGAACGTTGTTGGGTTCCTGCTGACCAGGTTCATGCGCCCCGTCTTACCCGGTCGTTTCACAACTGCTTCCCTCATAAGCTGGCTCCTTCCCACCCGGTGAGTGGTATTTGAGTGGGGGGAACTGTTGCGGCTCCCGGCCCGCCGCATGGCACAGCCATGCCCAACCGCCGATATTGCAAAATTACCTGCTCGCCGGTGAGCCCGAAACTGCTCCTCCGCATCTTCTGGGCGTTGCGCCCAAATCAAAGATGGAGCTGACCACGTTGTCGCGCACACCATAAGCTCCGCCCCTCAAATTTATACGGACGTGCTCGTGACATCACAACGTCAATGCACGGGCACGTTCTGGGGTCAGAGGTCACCCTGTCCAGAGAGGGATATTTAAATCCCTAATTCACTCCAGTTCCTTACCCTGTCGTGGTTTCCTGTTCCTGGTTCCCGAGAGTGCGTTTATCTTTGTGAATATTACTTCCTGGTATCCTGATCTTGGCTTTTCCCTGGTTATTCTGAATTCTGGTTCCCCTGACTTGGCTTGTTTAAACAGTATCTGAGTATTTCTGGCCTTCTTGACCTCGGCTTTCCCTTTGACCATTCTCTATCTCTAGTGTATTAGTCCGGCCATTCTAATGTCCGGTTTACGCTCTGTCCTTTTATTTCCTTTCCTTTTTTATGTATATGTTTACATAGTTTCTGCGTGTTGGACCACACTAGCAGCCATGACATAGGCACAGTATAAGTGCATGCAGTGATCTGCTCACACAGTGCTTGCTTAAAACAGTCCTCTGGTATCCCTAGAAGTGGGACACCAGGGAGTCAATCCAGGATGGTGGGACAGGATTCCAGAAGTGTGAAAGGTCCTGCTAGATTTGGCACTCTTAGGAGACATGGAATTGTTGAGACTGGTTTCTTTGATTTAACTTGCTTTTTTTTCTTCCTTGATTACAGCGGTTGAAAAAATTTAGCTGCATTTTTTTAGATTGGTGAAAGCAAATGTATATGTTTAAAGTTTCCCATTGTTCTTTAACCCCTTAATGACCGATTAAGGTTCAGGACTGTCATCAGAAACATACCCTTGAGGACTGATGACGGTCCTGAACCATCATAATTATTTACCCAATCCCCGCCATTCCCCCGCCGGCGATCAGTGTTGCTCTGGGTCTGAGGGTACTTCCTGACAGCCCAGACAGTCCTACCTCTGCAAATTAGGTCCCTGCTGCCATGTGATCGATCTAACAGAGCGGTCACATGGCTGCAATAGGTGTCCAAGTATCTGCCTGCTGCTGGAAAATAAAAATATAAATAAAAAGGTTAGTAAAAATTTTAGTAAATAAAAAATAATAATAATATATGTATATATATGAGATGTATATACATATATATATATATATCTTGTATATATGGCATACTTGTATATATAATGTCATACTAAGTGTATTTCATACTAAGCGATTTTTATATTAATATATACATATTAATATACATATATTAATATAAAAATACACTTAGAATTAAATTACACACACACACACACACACACACACATATATATAATCACTATATATTGTGTATGTATATTATTATAAAATACAAATAATAAGTAAATACAAAATAAAAAAGTTAAAATAATAAAAAAATTATATATAAACACACACACATATATATATATATATATATATATATATATATATATATATATATATATATATATATATATATATATATATATATATATAAAACACAAGATCCAGCGCACTCACCTATCCACTAAACGGCAACTTCAAGATTTTATTAGTTGAAGTTGCCGTTTAGTGGATAGGTGAGTGCGCTGGATCTTGTGTTTTGTATTATTTGGCCCCCAGCAGCACCCCCATTTATGCATGTTCAGGTGAGTGCAGCCAACCTCCCTTGTTTCATATGTATATATTTGGGAGTCTAACCAACTCCTTGGTTTTGCACCCCTCCCTGTCACAGGTGCCTCATCTCAGGGCCCTATTTAGCCTTGTACTGCAGAGAGCCCCAGATGGAATTTTTTCCTCAAGTAAGTGGTTAATCTCATAAGAGCAGACATTAGGCTGTTAGTGTAGGACCTGCCAAAGATGGGGTACATTGACGCTGTGGCAGGCTTATGCAATGTATGATCATATAATGTAACTAAACCCCCATTATTTTTGCCTAGATTAGGTGTTTTTAAAAAAACTAATAAAATCTTTCAACATTGAAGTTGCCGTTTAGTGGATAGGTGAGTGCGCTGGATCTTGTGTTTTGTATTATTTGGCCCCCAGCAGCACCCCCATTTATGCATTTTCAGGTGAGTGCAGCCAACCCCCCCTTGTTTCATATATATATATATATATATATATATATATATATATCTCAAAATAATACGAAATACATATATATATACATATACATAATTACATAAATAATTTCATAAATATACACGTAGACTTCAAATATATATATATATATATATATATATATATTTAAATTCTATGTGCATATTTATTTAATATTTTTACATAATTAAGTAATTTTATTGATTGCAATTTGGGGGACCTGTCTGACAACCCAGGCCGAAAGTCCAGAGAATTTAATTTGCTAGCCCTGTATTTAACCCTGTAACTTTCAATGACACCCTAAAACCTGTACGTGGGGTGTACTGTTTTACTCGGGAGACTTCACTGAACACAAATATTAGTGTTTCAAAACAGTAAAACCTATCACAGTGATGATATTGTCAGTGAAAGTGATGTTCTTTTCATTTTTCACACACAAACGGCACTTTCACTGATGATATCATTGTTGTGATACGTTTTGAAACACTAATATTTGTGTTCAGCTAAGTTTCCTGAGTATGACGGTGTCACGGGTGGCGGTCCGTTGCACGGGACCCAGACACTTTCCGGGCGGCGGTGCCTGGACCAGGAGCCAGTATGCCTGATGAGATTGGAGTCTTTAGCGTGGAAGTGGATTAGCAGGGTCTGGTGCAGGGTAACCACACGCCCCCTGGTGTTCAGCACCAGCGTTTGCGCGGCCACATACCAGAACTCTGAGGCAGCTACAGCGGATCCCAGGAACTAGGATCTTGATATGCAGACCTCCCAGGAACTGGATAGGGGGGCTCTGCAGCAGACATGTATCCAGTACAGAAACAAGGCAAGGCTAGGATAGTCACCAAACATGAAAACAAGACAGAACTAATAGAACCCAGAACCAGAGCAGGACAGAAAGCTAAACCCAGAACATGTACACAATACATAAGGGAACATTAACTAAACAGGGGCAAGACAGGACAGTATATGGACTGGCAATACAAACTAAAACAAGACAAGATATGATAGGCAAAACAAGAGGAGACATAACTAAGCACTATATATGAAAAGTATGGGGATTTAGTTACATTATATGATCATACATTGCATAAGCTTGCCACAACACCAATGTACCCCATATTCAGCAGGTCCTACACTGCCTAATATTCGCTAAAAGAACCATACTAAACCACAATAGCACTTACCTGCAAGAAAGGGCAGAGACGTGAAACACTGCTGCAGGTCCAGACTGAAACAAAAGGAAAATGGAAAACAAATGGGTGTGGCAACATAAAACAAACAATTAAATGAATCCAAGAGACTGGCAAATCCAGTGACGGAATATAAGAATGAACCCAGAAACCCAGCATAAAGAAAACCAGACATAGAACAGAAAACCAGAAAACCAAGAAAAACAGAACAAGAATTATAAAAAGAGTACTGGATACCAGAAACCAAAGCCAGACATCTCTGCAGAACATGGCATGATGTGACAG